TCCGAGAAATCAGCACGAATGATAAATAATGGAATTGAATCGTCCGCTGTAAATGGATTTATAGGAGTTACGCGCAGATATGGAATCATACGCTATACAAGGTGTCCCGCGGCCATTTTAACCAGAAAATTGTTTCATAAAGACGTACAGGGTGAGTTAACAAAAATACAGATATTGTTTATCGAATCTGTTATTACCAGAAGAGAATTAATATCAATTCGTTCAAACATAAAATTGCATTGACTCGTTATGCTACATCAAGTACAAAATTTACATAAAACACAATCAAGAAGAAATAATCATATTATGTGGCTAATTGATTTACCCTTGTACACTCGTGTTTCCTAACTGAAGTTAAATGGGACATATGAATCTCTTTGTTATCTCAGTTTTTTGGTGCTAAAACTGTGGCTGGCGGATTGTGGGACACCCTGTGCACGCGAGAATGAGCGAAACGACTCGATAACGCGAGACGAGTCGTAAAAATAGACGGGACGGACCCGCGAACTTTTCTCGCAGTCTAATCCCGTTTATGGACAATTTTTATGGTCGACTTTATCGCAATCATTGGCTATAACCCCGTTATCGAGCATTAATGATGTCGTGAACATTTCGTCGTCAACTCGTAACGAAACAGCTCGTACCTCTTAAACGGATCAGAGAATCAGCCTTTCCATTAATTTTTCGTGCTGCCAGAAATTGTTGATGTTCTGTGGCAACTGTTCAGGCGTGTTTCAAAGCGACTACAACGCGTCCAAAGGTAGACGTCTGGAAACTAAAATACGTTTTGCAAACCTGTAATCACGTAATAGCCTATACCGACGCGACAGCGCGCCGCGTCGGGTAACGCTTACTGACGTGTCCACCGGATCGATGGAAATTCGATAGCAATACGCTTGCCCGTAGAAAATGAAAGGCCCACGATGTTTGAATCGATTTCTAAAAGTCTCGGAATTTCTCGATTCGCTTCACTCGGTGAAACAAATAATACATTCTTTTTCATCATGTGGAATGATTTCATCTTCCTTATATGCAATTTGGCTGTACTTTAATCTCCAGTTTAGAACGAACTGTCGTAACTGTGGATGAAATAAATCATGCTTGCGTAATTCGAGAAAGTTAAATCACAAATAACGTAACTGTAGGAACTTCAATTTCCAACTCGTTAATAAAACTTCTTCGCGTATTGTTAAACTTATATTGCACTGCATTGTGGATTTTATGTTATTTAGAGCGAAATTGTATGTGCAGGAAAGTCAAATATTGCAATGATAAAAGGATTTTCTATATAAAATGTTTTTCTTTTTTTAATTGATGCCATTTATTTTCGATGAAGGTTCGCAATCGGCTTAGGCGTATTGGTTACGCAGGAAGCACTTGAAAGAAAAATTCCCGGCTAGCGTGTTTCCGCAGTCGCAATTATAACATTTGCCCCGTTAATTTACGGGTGGGGGAGCGTAAAGAACGTCGCGGCGCGGAAGCACTCTCGATAAGGGCTCTTACGCGACGGTGCACTTTTGTCAGCCGACGTTCGCCCCTCTCTTGGTGCTTACGGATGACAAATTAGCGAGATAACTACTGCCGGCCGGATAATAAACGCCCAGGGAACACCGGTTTCAACCGTAACGACGACGCACGAACGTGATAATTTTGGAATAATTGCCACCCGCGAACGCGTCGGCATTGATCAAACTTCAACCGACCGAACAAACTGTTCCCTGTGTTAGGCTCTCTTCCTCCGATCAACAATTCCCTTCCCCTCGATTAATTACTAAACGTTACCCTGAACTCATTCTGCATTGTGCTTCGCGTTTGTTTCATTATTATTTGTTTTCAATTTGTTCATGGGTTGGAAGAAGTATTCAGAACATGATGCACAATTCGTCCTGTGCGATTCATCGAGATAAGTTTCGAGATGCTCAGTATATTAATCGATGTCTAAGTGAATGCTACTCTAAATTAAAGAAAAACTCCAAGGAAACATCTAACGCTCTTTACAAGAAATTGCGCAGTTATTAAGATATGGACTGGAGTAGAGCTTGTTTTCTTTTAATAACGACGAAAGGCAATTTTCTATTTAATCAGTGATTTGAAGAAAACAAATTCTTTGATGACCGTTAGAGTTTTGAAGAAGACAAGAGTGTTAGTAGCTCTGTGAGGTAAGTTACAGGTACCTCACGAGCTCAGGCGTCACCGCTACTACGCAAACTTGTTTATTGCTTAATTCGATTGACGCGTAATTTTGAGCTGCGTCGGGTGCTTTCAAGTTAATTGAATGTTCGTGGAAAATTAATGTCGCGAGGCAACGTCGGAGCTCCTTTCAGCTCGGCCTCGCCTCGCCCGCGTTTTCGTTCTCTCACCCACCGTGCTTTCACCTCGCGTAAATACACAGGGCTTTCTATCGGTACTCCCGGCAAAATTTCTTGCCACGGACCAAAGACGCGACCGGAAACTGTGAAATAACGGAGCGGCGGTTCTATCACACGGCGACATCAAAGTTTCCTCGGTTGGTCAAAACCTTCGGACTCCTATCTGAATGTCCGCGTCGTTCACTAAAATCTCGATAGTATGTCTCGCGATTGAGAAATTCGCGCGCGATAAGCTTCAGAGACGGCGATTTTACGCCTGCGACCGAGCCGCAGACACGTTTGATTTTACGACTCCCGGACTCGTGATTCGGGCGGAAATAACGGGCTTCCGACGCTTCGTGTCGCAGACAGTAATTGAAAATTACGAGTGCAGGAGCTAGTTTCACGATGTCCTGTCGGTGAAACATCGTCGCGAGATTTCTCCTTTATCACTTTATACCGTTTCTTATGGTCTATCACGAACGTGTCTGCGTGTCCAGTCGAAGAACAGAATGGTCGTGGCAAATTATATTTAACTCTTTTCCTATCAAATGGAATACATGAGAAGCGATGAACTACTATATTATTTATAAATTTCAAAAAATGTATATTTTTTATCTTCAATAAGTTTCGTGTTCAAATACTAATGAATTAAATTATCGGAGTTAAAAGCACCGGTAGAGCGGTTCAACATTCCGTAATTTCTGATTTCAGTAAAGCGCAGCGAATATTCTTCATAGCGTTATGAAACATTTTAATCAAAGAATGTATAAGCTCTTCTATTCACCGATTTTCCAAGCAGATACGATCGGAGGAACGTTCGGAACGAGGTGCCGATTAATTTGCGGAATATAATGATACTCGAAACATCAATAGATGTTACAGAAGCGAATGGAACTCTGTAATAATTTCATCGAGAGATAAATTTTATGAGGCTGTAAATTTTTTATCAGAGAGCACGACTTTGATTGAGAGATCGCTTTCTTCTGTGAGATGCATCAGTTAATTAATTAATAGGATTCCTGTGTGAAAAACCGTCGAACTTTGCTTTTCCTCGCTTCGTTTTTTTAACGCATTCTATCGTATCATTATTATAGATGGAATGAAAAAAAGACTCGATATCTTTTTAGTCTTTAATTACTCAGGAATTTTCATTAAAAACCCGATGAGGGGCATGTCTCGACTTTCGCGAACGCGAAGTAACAATTCTTCATTGACTCGAGCGAAGCTTCGCCTAATTACGCGCTTTCACTAAACGCTTCTCCGAAAAACGTGGCACGATTCTCGGCGTGTAACATCAAAAGCTTTCTTTATTCTCAAAGGCGAACGGTTTGCAAAATATCGCGGCAGTCGGAGTAGGGAGAATCGCGAGGGATAATCGCGGAAAGGTGCACACTGTTACGGGCAACGAGGAAAATGAAAAGCATGGGCTGCTCTGGGAAAGAGGGAAGTCAGTAACCGTGTGCAAGCTTTGCCGTGCGAAAGGGAAAAAAGGAAATGCATGGTTTTCATCAACAATATGCTCGGTGTCGAGCCGGCGCGGGCGTGAAGCCGTTGCACGCATACGGATACATCATCTTTAAAGAGTAGCGAAGCAGAAACGGCAGAGAGTCTTGCCAACGGTTGAGTCATCGCAGTATCGGAGAGAAGAGGGTCGGCTCTCTCTCTCCTCCTTTCGCCGTAATCGTTCCTCCGTGGGTATAACGAATCCGGCCGAAAGGCCGGCTGAAATTATTATTATAGCTCTACAGAGTCGTGGCTACCGATCGCAGGAACCGAGTAAGAGAGATTTGTAAGCTGCCAATCGCTTTCTCTTACCGTCTCACGAGTGGTTTTCGGGTGAAGGAGACGGGGAGAATGAAACGTGAAAAGGTCTTCTTTGAGACGAAGCGAATAAAAATTTTTTGGAGCCGATTCAAGTGAAACGTTCAAGAGGTAGGGCGGGGCTCGCCTTTTATTTTCCGTGGTCGCGGATTCCAGCCACGACAGTGGCAATAAAAGAAATCGAGCGTAATAATGGCGATTATGTCGTTTACGATCGATTGCACGTAGGCACGCGACCAAGCGAGAGAAGAGGGCCAGAAATCGATGTCACACGCGAGTATTATTCTTGGCAACGATATTAGAAACCTTCTTTCTCATTGAATCGAGATGAGGAACGACGAGAAAACGAGGGGGCGAAAGTTCCGGCCGAGCCGTTCCTCTGAAATCGGTGCCAAACACGAAACGGCTTTGTTAATCGCGAATTAGTCGGAGAACAGGCGAATTTGTCGCTCGCTATCCCGGTTGTATAAATAAAACCAGAAACGTTCACCCGCTCGACTCCCGCAGTCGAATTCGAGTTCGATTCGGCCATTAAGAGGTTACTCACTCGGGCCACCGCGCTGGCGTGTTTGCGCGCCGCAAATGAATAGTTTCGCGACGACTCGTTACTCGCGCAGTTTTTTCAGATACACGCGAAACACCCCCGGCGCATTATGCTCGACACATTTTTCAAAACGCCCTCCGTTCGAGTTTCTTCATTTTTTTCCCTTCTTCCAACCCAGTATTTTCTGCTCATAAATAGTAACAACCGGGGACGAAGACGAACGCGCGCGCGTGTTCGTGCGGCCGTTTCGTGGCTCTCATTGAAAGTAGTCAGAGCAAACTCACCGTTTGTGTTGAATCCTGAGGCCTCTGCGCGGGTGCAACGGTATTCCGTCTTTCAGCCAGTGCACCCTTGGGGGCGGCGAACCCCTCGTTCGGCATACTAGCTTCACCCTCTCCCGTAACCTCGCTATCGAGTCCCTGAGTTCGGATAACGTGACCTCCCTCACTGAAATCAGACATGTTGCTTCGTTAAAAACATATCTTAATTATCAATATAATTATACATTAATCATTTTCATTTCTTGAATTAAGAGTAAACAATTCTGTTTCTTCACCTAGAAGAATGATTAAAAAGTACTTGAAAACGAGCCAGTAATTAAAAAATATTGTGGATCAGGTATACGCGAACATTTTTGCATGAACGTATTAGGAATGTTCAATGTTAGACTGAACGTGAAAATTCGAAAAGTGATTAAGCGAAAAGTTGAAAACCGTGGGAATATTCTGGCGCGTAATGAATTTCGCGGCGGGGGTAAAATCCGGGCTGGTGTGAAAGAGAATTTTTAAAGCGGCTACTTTTCGAACTCTTCGTCCCGGACTACGTGTCTCCAAGTCCCGGTGCGAGAAACTTCCGGGCCGAAATCCGACCGGAAGTTTTAATCAACTTTTCGAGAGCCCGTACTCTTCGCCCCCGGCTGGGAAGAGACTCTATGAAGCAATACGTGTTCTAAATCATACAATCCTTGACAAAGAACGTTTCGCATACACGAGTCATGTTTTTAATCAGTCATCAAACATTTACTGCTCAATTTATGCTCGAGTGTTTCAATTTAAATAAATAAGTATAATCACGTTGATGGAACACGTATATTGTTAGTGTCATCACAACAGGTAGGAGTGCCTCTTGAAAGAAATTCTGGGATAATTTCCTTGGATATTTCATGTACACAGTACAAATTCAAAAAGGATATATTCAAAAGTCTTTCCTTTTCTCATAACGAAATGTAGAAGAGTAAATATTTGTATGCTTTAAGCTCGACCACGAAATGTTGGGACCGTCCGGGACAAAAAATGGAAAACGGAAAAAAGGATTATGTCCTGTTCCCTTTTGGTTGCTACATAGCTGACCGTTTGGATGAAAAATATCGGAAGTTCGCTTTGAGGAATCGCTAGGGGTAGCTATTCCCCTTTCGAATACCCGAAACTATTGATTCCCGTCAAAGCCGTTTGTATTTCCACAGACACTATTGAGAATCAACCTTCCGGATTGCCAACGACTTTTTAAGTCGATCAAGCTTTCAACACAATACTCTAAGTACGATTACTCGATAGAGCGAACAATCATTTATATCCTTCGTTTGTTTCGTTTTTATCACTGAATTCAAATGTGTGTAGAACAGATAATCAATACTATATCATATTAAATATTCCATTATTTTAATTGGTAATATATTATAGTTATATTATTACGTTCAATGAGCGTGTATTTATTTTGCAAACGAAGAATATAAGAACGAAGAATATAAGAACGCAATGAGTCGTGGGCAATGATGTTTCGCTCAATGAGGAAATCCTTTGGGGACCCGCTGGTGTATGTATTTTCCGAGGAAAATGTCGAAGTTCTCGACCGAACACGTTCAATGAGAATGTGGCCGTTCCATTATGTCGAGGACCGCGGAGAATAATAATAACGCGACGTCGGGTTCTTTGCCTGCTTCCAACCGCTGTAACGACTACCGCACACGCTCGCCTCTCGTTACCAGGGATTTTATAATAATAATCGTGGCAAGGAGCAAAAGGCGTCTCCGCGAGATCCAACGCGACGATGAATTCGAAGCCTCGCCCTTCGCGTTTGACCCGGGGGTACTCCGGGTTTCCTGTTATCGCGATTCCGTTTTAAATTGGGTCCGGATCAAAAGCGGGGGTGGGCAAAGTGGGTCGGTGGTGAATTCTAATTTTAGAACCCGCGAGCCACTCCTCCTCGCGCCTCGAGCTTGTCCATTGTGGAGCGCGAGTATAAAGGATAAAAATGGATAGCGACTCGCTTCGCTTGCTCCTCTTTGAGACTGACCCTTTGTGATCCACCCTCCGTTCTTATTGCTAATCTTTTCTCGTACCGTCTTCGTTTGCACGATACCAACTGCTGCGTCGCATAATAGTTCGCCAAGTCAGATATTTATCACATGCTAATTTTGTAACTAAGGAATAATTTCCTCGGTTGAGGTCTGTCCACGGGAATTCGAGAAAATAACGGTAGCGGCAAGACGAATGAACGCGGTAATTAATCAACAAACCGGAATCGGTACCGAGGACGGGGCGAAGAATTATCGAAATATACGAGCCACTCCGATTCTAATCTGTTTCACTCTAGCGGGATCCGCGCGAGATTCAGCGTGCAATTTGCAATAGTTAAGAAGTCGCGGACTCTGCAATCTCGCGACGTTTCTCTTTCCCCGTAACACATTTTTTTCCCTAGCGTTGTGTTCCGACTACTATAGCGTGTCGTGCCAGGCGTAATTACACCGTCTCCCCAGGGAGAACCCGAAACGAAACGCGACGCTCGAATTATCCGCGACGTTCCGCGTCGCGGCGAGAACGCCTTCGGGCATTTAATACGTTTCCATCAATGTCGTCGTCGCCGACGACGTTACTCGAAACTTGCGCTGGCTTCCTATTTGCCGTGGCGTATGGCGCCGCGATCCTTCGCGAATAGCGTCGCGTACGAATCCTCCTCTTCCTACTACTCGTTCCGCTCGCTCGTATATCCGGCGCTGGATCTGCGAAGTCTCGAGATTTCACGGACTAATGTCGCACCGAGTGGCATGCGACATCGCCGTTTCTCATAGAAATTCTCTGCCCACTCTGACTTACAGTTTTAAGTAGTACGAGTCAATGAGAAAACCTCGACATGTAACAAATATAAAAATGGGCATTCAAACATTTGACATTTATTAATGATATTAAACATAGTCGTTTGCTATTGAAGAAGACATAAATAGAAGAGGCAAACGAATATACTTAGATTCTTTCTAGACAAATATTAAAGATTGGCTGGTTATGAACACATCTCTAAAACGAACGATTCAATTTTCGTTTCCGTATTTCCACCAAACGAGAAATGGGGAACATAAATGCCTCGTAGAGCACCTGCATTTTTATTGCTCAGTGTACCGCGACCGAAGTTAATAATTTCTTATTGGCCCGTGGCGGCGAGTAAACACGCAGAGGCGTCGTTCATTAATTATGACGTTGGCAATTTCCGGTCCAGCTGCCTACCTTAGCGCACCGGGAAAAACTGACCCTAAAAACCTCCTTTAGTTTTATTTGCGGATTTATCCGATAAACAATAAATTATGCCGATGTAACGCCTTTTAATCATTAAAGAACATTAAAAGTTGCACCACAGACTATGATAATTGTTTAAATATGTATAGTCTCATACATTTTTACGTATGTGGTACAGAGATAAATTCAAAAAGTTATAAATTAATGTTCATTCGCATTCTAGTGAATCTTTCTTGGAAGAAGCTGCGTTTTGATTATATGCTTCGTCACTCCGACTGGGCACCTATATTTGAAAAAGCGGGCACTGTCGTGCGGTTGCTGGGCGGATTAAGTTCGCGGGGAATATTAATTCGAGCCCATGGCTAAAGTGCTTTTACGCGTCCTGGCTGAAAGCGGTTCAGTCGAAAGCCGGCCGGGTCGCTCGACCAATGCCTGAAATTCACTTCGAAAGGCAAGAGGATTTCGCGTCTGATTCCCAGCGCTGTAGCCGCGTTCTCTGTTCGTTATTAACCGGTTACGTATGTGCGCGTTACCGTACGATGAGGGACGCCGCGCCGCGACGCCGGTGCTAAAAGGGATCGAGAAAAACCGAGACGAAAGATGAGGAGAGGAAGAGAGAGAGAGAGATAGGAGGAATGCACACGAGATGCAAAACGAGTAAAATGTCGCAGGGACGAATGGAAAGAGACGAAAGCTCTGGATATTCACGGTATTCCCATGTTACCCGCTGGACGTCGGACTCGGCTCGTCGGTCCGCGTGCGGTCCTCTCGCTGCGAAACGTCATTTAACGATTAGTCCGTGCGAACTGACGGCGAAATTCAAATTTAAATGGCACTCGCGGGAGAGGCCGATCGAGGTTCTCCGGGACCCCGGAATTTATGCTGGAATTGCGGCCCGCAATTGTCGCCGATGGTGACAGCCAGAGCCTGACGGGTCTCGGTGCCATCAGACCAGAAGGGAAGTAGAGAAGTTAGACGAGGGTCGAACGCATTGCACTGAAATATCCTCATAATTTAATGAGAAAGAGGAAAGTCATTTCACGATCGATTCATATTTTCAATTCGTTCAAGAATGAAGAAGTATGCCAAGAATCTCATAGACGAATTCTTTTGCGTCTATCGAATGGAATTCGCGGAAGAATCGACAAAGAAAAGAAGTAACAAAAGGGAGAAGGGGGGAAAAAAGCGACGGCAGGGCCTGTCAGTCAAACGGGCGTGTCACGGGCTCGCTACGAGGGGATGAAACACGCTGAACGACCAAGAACGGCAAAGAGAGCGGCGGCGGTTGATTAATGAACGCGTCGCCGAAAGAGCAAAATAACAAATAGCGCGTTGCCACGTTCGCCCCTCGGGCTGACGCGATGGCGGCTGGTCGTTTTCGAGCCGGCGCGGAGGCCTGGCTCTGGAAACGCGGGGGTTGCGGCAGCCGCCCACGCTGCTTGATTCATAGTTCCCGCGGTGCACCGACGGCTTGTGACGAGGCGCGACCTCGTGTTAAGCATACGACCCGACCCCTCGATCCCCGACCCACCTTCGCCCCTCGATAATTGATTGTCTCGTACCCTATGATCCTCCCCCTCGTCTGCTGAATTCCGTTTTTGCTTCCCTATACGTGTTTACTCGCTACCGTTGACGATTATTACATCCTGCCAAAGAAACTCGCAACATGATTTTCAACGCCGCAACTCTCGACGAGATCCGGCTGAATGTTTTTAATCGTAAAAATATCACGTGTATAAAAATTTTACATTTCAACAAACCGGTTTTGGAAATATAGCCGGATAAAAGCGAGCGATCGATGATCAGCGGATTGAAATAAAATATTTTTCAACATAGATCTGTTACAAAATAAATTTTTTATGTATTAAAATTTAGTTCATGTTACCATAGAAACGTATCAATAACACGAATTTATATAATTGTCGAATATTCCTCATCAAT